AAGAAAAAGGGAGGAAGAGGAGGAGAGGGGAGGAGGAGAAGAGGAAAAGGGGAGAGGGGGAGGAAGAGAAAAAGGAAGAAGGACGAGATGGAGGAAGAGAAGAGATGAGAAGGGAGGAAAAGGGGAGAGGATAAGTGGAGCGGCAGAGGAAGAGAAGTAGGAAGAGAGGAGGTGAGGAAGGAAAAGGAAGAAGGGGAGGTCAAAGAAGAGAAGGAAAAGGAAGGAAGAGAAGGAGAGGGAGGAAGAAGAGAAAGGAAGAAGGGAGAGGTGGGGGAAGAGAAGAGGGAGGCAGAGGGGGAGGAAGAGGAGAGGAAGAGAACAGGAAAAGGGAGGAGGAGGAGGGGGAGGCACAAAGAGGAAGAGGAGGGAAGAGGAAGAGGAAGTAATGAGAGAAAAGAGGAAAAGGGAGGAAGGGAGGGGAAGAAGGGAAAGGGGGAGGAAGAGAAACAGGAAGAGGAGAGGAAGGGAGAGGGGAGGAAGGGGAAGTGGCAGAGGGTGAGGAAGAGAAGAGAGGAGGAAAAGGGAGGAAGAGGAGGACCAGTACACACCAGTACAGCCCTGCCCGCACCAGTACAGCACTGCCCACACCAGTACAGCCCAGTACAGCCCTGCCCGCACCAGTACAGCCCTGTCTGCACCAGTATGTACCAGTACAGCCCTGCCCATCCCAGTATGTCCCTGCTTACACCAGTACAGCCCTGTCAGTCCCAGTACAGCCCCGTACGGCCCTGCCTGCACCAGTATGGCCCTGCCCATCCCAGTACATCCCAGTACAGCCTTGTCTGCACCAGTACATCCCAGTACAGCACTGCCCGCACCAGCACGTCCCAGTACAGCCTTGTCTGCACCAGTACATCCTTGCCTGTCCCAGTACAGACCTGCCCGCACCAGTACAGCCTGGTCAGTCCCAGTACAGCCCTGCCTGCACCAGTATGTACCAGTACATTCCTGCCCATCCCAGTACAGACCTGCCTACACCAGTACAGACCTGTCAGTCCCAGTGCATCCCAGTACAGCCCTGCCTGCACCAGTACACCCCAGTACATCCCTGTCTGTCCCAGTATGTCCCTGTCTGCACCAGTACAGCCCAGTACAGCCCTGCCAGCACCAGCACATCCCAGTACGGCCCTGCCCGCCCCCTGCCCTCACCGTGTCTGCGAATACTCCCCCTTCTCCACCAGCAGGGGATGGGGCCGAAACACCAACTCGATCTCGCTGCTGCCGGGCTCGGCGCCGGGTTCAGGGGTGCCCCGACCCCCTCCTTCGTGGGAGGTTTCGGGGTCAGGGTCCGGGCCGGAGTCGTCAGAGGCGCGGGAGCGTTTTCGGCTGGGCCCGGCCTCGGGGTGGCTGGGGGCGGAGGCGTTGCTGAGGTGGGAGCGGCTGTCGCAGTTGTCCTCGCCCCCACTGAAGGTGGCGTTGTCTGACTCCTGGTGCAGCTTGCGGACGCGCTGGGCCCTGGAGGGGAGGGAACAGAAGGGGGTTAATGGGGATATGGGGTGAGGGGGGGACATGGGGGGTAGCTATGGCATGGGGAGAGGCAGCTCTGAGCATGTTTGGGGCGTTAAAACCCTGTCCATGGCATCAAAGGGGGGTTTGGAGGTCACCTCCTTCATGGGTAGGGACCAGATCTGGGTCCTCAAACTCCATCCATGGCATCTCAGGGGGAAATGGAGGTCACCTTCTCCATGGATAGGGACATTTCCAGCCACATTTGGGTCCTCAAATCCCATCCATGGCATCTCACGGGGGTTGGAGGTGACTTCCTTCATGGATAGGGACTAGACCTGAGTCCTCTAAACCCATCTGTAGCATCTCAAGAGGGTTTGGAGGTCACTTTCTCCATGGATAGGGACATTTCCAACCACATTTGGGTCCTCAAATCCCATCCACGGCATCTCAGGGGGGTTTGGAGGTCACTTCCTTCATGGGTAGGGACCAGATCTGGGTCCTCAAACCTCATCCACAGCATCTTAGGGGGGTTGGAGGTCAATTCCTTCATGGATATGGACCAGATCTGAGTCCTCTAAACCCATCTGTAGCATCTCAAGAGGGTTTGGAGGTCACTTTCTCCATGGTTTGGGACATCTCCAGCCACATTTGGTTCATAAAACCCCATCCATGGCATCTCAGGGGGGTCTGGAGGTCACCTCCTCTATGCATATGGACTACACCTGGGTCCTCAAAACCCACCTGTACCATCTTAGGGTAGTTTAGAGGTCACCTCCTCACATCTCCAACCAGACTTGGTTCCTTAAATCCCATCCACAGCATCACAGAAGTGTATGGAGATCACCTCCTTCATGATTATGGACATCTCCAACCACATTTGGGTCCTCAAACCCCATCCATGGCATCTCAGGGGGGTCTGGAGGTCACCTCCTTCATGGATAGAGACCAGATCTGGGTCCTCAAAACCCATCTGTAGCATCTCAGGAGGGTTTGGAGGTCACCTCCTTCATGCATAGGGCCATCTCCAACCACATTTGGACCCTCAAACCCCATCCATGGCATCTCAGGGGGGTTTGGAGGTCACCTCCTCGCATCTCCAACCAGATCTGGTTGCAAAGACTCCATCTGTAGCATCTCAGGGGGGTTTAGAGGCCACCTCCTCCATGGATAGGGACATCTCTGACCACGTCTGGGTCCTCAAACTCTGTCCACGGCATCTCAGGAGGGTTTGGAGGTCACCTCCTTGCATCTCCAACCAGATCTGGTTGCTCAGATTCCATCTGTAGCATCTCAGGGGGGTTTGGAGGTCACCTCCTCCACGGACAGGGACATCTCTGACCACGTCTGGGTCCTCAGATACCATCCATGGCATCTCAGGAGGGTCTGGAGGTCACCTCCTCCATGAATATGGACCGGATCTGGGTCCTCCAAACCCACCCACAACATCTCAGGGGGGTTGGAGGTCTCCTCCTCCATGGGTAGGGACATCTCCAACCACTTCCTGCTCCTCCAAACCCATCCATGGCACCCCAAAAGGATTTTGGTCCCAGTGAGGGCCACCACTCCTCACTGGTCTCCATCCCACCACAAAACCATCCACCACCCCCCAAAATCCCCCCAAACCCCCATCTTTTCCCAGTGTAGAAGGCAGAACGTGGTGGGAGATGCCCCCAGGACCCCCGCCCCACGCCAGGGAGGTGCTTTAGGGGTCCCACCTGTGCATCGCCTGCATCTTGAGCCCCTCCTCGATGCTGCTGCTCAGCGCCTGCTGGTTGTGGAGGCGGCTGAGCTTGGCCAGGACCCGGTCCTGGTGAGCCTCGTACTCGTCGCGGCTGGGGTAAATTTTGGAGATCAAGGCGTCGAAATTGGGGTCAGGGCGCAAGGAGCGCTTGGAAACCAACTTCTTGCGGCACGTGGGACACTCCTTGTTCCTGCGGGTGACAAGAAGGGACGAGGGGTGACGCGGGGACGCCCCCGGCGGTGGCGGCGGCGGCGGCGTCACCCGGCCCCTACCCGCTGCGGAGGGCGGTGACGATGCAGTCGGAGCAGAAGCGGGGCAGGGCACTCCTTGGTGGTCATGGTGTTCTTCAGCATGTCCAGGCAGATGGGGCACATCAGCTCGCTGTGCAGGCTGCGCGGGGACACCGCGATCTCCGTCCCGTCCATGATGGCCTCCTGGGGTGGGGACACATGGTGACATCGTGTTACAGGGCTGGGGTGACAGGAAACTGACCCCATAGAACGGGGACACCCCCTTGAGCCCATCTCTGAGAATTTGGGGTGACTGGGTAGGGGTCGTGTGGGGACACCACGATCTCTTGTCCCCGTCCATGATGCCCTCCTAGGGGGTGGCACTTTGTGACACTGCCATGGCCCTGGGGGTGACAGGACAGTGCCCCCCACCCTGGGGACATCCCCCTGTACCCATACCCCAGGATTTAGGGTGCCAGCACCCCAAGAACCCCCTCCCCAGGGGGGTGCCAGACCTTGGCCCTCCCCCACCATCCACACCTTGGGGTTGGCCCTTGTCCCCCCCACCCAATTTGAGGGGTCCCAGCCCTGGACCCCCTGTGTGTCCCCCTCGGGGCAGTGTCCCCAGGTACCCCCCAATTTGGGGGGGTCCTAGGCCTTGCATCCCATCATTGTCCCCCAATTTGAGGGGTCCCAGCCCTTGATTCCCTGTGTCCTCCCCCAGGTACCCCCAAATGTGGGGGGGTCCCAGGCCTTGTGTCCCCCTCCAGGTACCCCCAGTTTGGGGGAACCCCAGGCCTTATGTCCCCTGTCATCCCCCCTAATTTGAGGGGTCTCAGCCCTTGATTCCCTGTGTCGACCTCCAGGTACCCCTCAATTTGGGGGGGGTCTCAGGCCTTGTGTCCCCCCCCACACCCAAACTTTGAGGGGATCCCAGGCCATGACCACCTGCCCCTCTCCCCAAAGCAGTGTCCCCCT